ATATTTTTAATAAAATTTTTAAAAAAGAGACTTTATGGCTCTTATTGTACTTATAATTAAGTGAACATTAAATTGATTTTTTTATAATTTCTTATTGCTTACAACAAACTATTATTAGTGAGCAATTAATACCTCCATATAAGACCTTCGTTCGATTCGGCTCTATAATTACGCTAAAATGGGTAAAATGGCTACAATGTTCATTGTTAAATTTAAATATTTGTGCTTAGTTTGTGAGTATTGGAGTTGTCAGTTCTGGACAATTTTTCTTTTGTACCGAAGAGAAAAACAAACCTTTGTAATGAACACCGTCTGCATGAATTATTAATTTTTTGCTGTAACAGGCGTTGAATATATGATTTTGGCCGTTCTATAGTATGGTCACGTAAAAATGCTATTTTAAATACTAACAAATTACCCGCGTCTGGTGACAGCACATTATTGCTTCATTAGTTTCAGCCATATTTTTGAAAAGGTGTCAAAACAATGGGCTAACAAGATTTATTTGATTTGGCAAAAAAGGATTTCCTTTGCTCAAATGAAAGTTCCAACAATTCACTTTAAATACTTTTTCTTATTTTGATTATATTTAACTTATCAAAAAAAACATAATATTTATTTTAAATACAATAATAAATAAACTTCTAATGACATTATTTAAAAGAAAATAATATACTTATATAAAATGGGTATTCTGGTGAAGGCATGTACCACTAATTCAAGAAAAATAACTGAAGTATTACTTAGAATTCAAAAATTAAGCATAAGACGTCCCTCCCCGTCGTTACTAACATCAACCAAGCACGATTATTAAAATACTGTCTCTTGTTTTTCATGAAATAACAATATACGGAAGTATTTTCCATACGATATAAGTTATTCTTACATCTTATAACATATTATCTTATAAATTGCTTGTCAATCAAATGTACACTAAGTTACTATTTTCATTAATATATTTACACACGAATTATGATTACTTCAGTCCTATATATGAATAATGGAATTTAAAGTTCTTGAGAATTACAAAAAATAAGAAATACCGTAAAATAGTTAAGTACTTTATGATTTTTATTTACGTCAAACATATACGTACAAGCCATCCTTTGGAATCATATGCAGTCAAACCTCCGTAAATCCCAGTATCATTTTGCAAAGAAAAGGTTGGACTTATGGAGACCTCCGGTTAGCGAACTTTTTTATTTTTCTTTTATTCTTGAAAGAAACTAGGATTATGTTTCAAGATATTTATTTATTTAAAATCATAATACAGCATAAAAGTTATAGTGAAGTCAAATATTCAGAAATTAGAGTATGGAATATTATTTTATTCTTCTTATTTTCAGTAAAAATAGATTCCAATTTATTTAAAGCGTTTTAGTGATCATCAGTTGGAGTATCATTCATTTGTTAATAAAACTTAAAAATTTTGAAAGAGTCTTTTACTTCTGGAAGCCTAATGAACAATTTCATCCACCGAACCCTTATCATCAGTTTCCATTGTGCTTAGAATTGGATCCACTAATTCAGAACTATAATGCTCAATAATATCGTCATCTGTAGGTAACCGTGATGTAGAAATATCATTGTGAAACTCAATATAATCGTTAATAGTAGCATAAGAAGTTATTTAATTTACTTTAAACCACGTTGCCAGAGACTGGCATTTGCATAAAGAAGGAACATAAGAAAAAAAACATTAAATATTTGGTTTGGAAAAAGGGACTTCCCCTAACATCAAAATGGATTCATACTTAAAACAAAAATTCGGCTTATACAATTCGGCCACATTTCCACACTCCGATTGGCACGTGATAGTATTTTATTCGAGTTATAGAGAAATTCGAGTTATAGAAGTTCGAGTTATGAAAGCAGAATTGTTTGTAATTTGCTATCTAAAACCCTGTTGCACTTTTTTTAGTGCAAATTATAGAAATTCGAATTATGGAAGTTTGACTGTATTTAAATATTTTGTTAAATATATTTAATGGTTTTGAATTTATTGTCATATTTTCTTATAATATCAACTGATGATTCTTTTAGAATTATAAAATAGTTCCATTTTGTTGCAGAATTGTGGATTAAATCAATTTATTCCCATGAACTGAATTGTAAGATGAAAGTTATATAAATAGTGGCTCCTTTCTGATATGTAAAAGGTTTATCCTAACTACAAATTTTAAGAGAAGTGGTAGTAACTCATTCAAATCATACAAGATAAACTTCAACATAACAAACAGCCATATATTTATTCTTATTCTTATCAATTAGTATAGGTAGGTATAAAACGGGAGTTTCTATATTCAAAATCACGAAACATATAAATTAACAAAAATTCTTACTAATTGAGGTAAGGTTTCTTTAAGCTATATACGCTATAGGGCAATATAGATAATAGATTCAAAAGCATACCGTATAGATAAAGATTTTATTAATATTGATTTAGCCTAGTTCCCACTCTCCTCTCCTGATGATGACGCTCCTGATGAAGGGGAGTCGAAATATGGAATATATTATATAGCCGGATAAAAAATTTATGTAAAGACCATTATTAAAAAAGCAGGTGGATAAATAAATTCAAAATTTAATTAATATATAATAATCAACCCATTGTCATGTAACTTTTAATTATTATCATAGATATTATCATATCTAAATGATAAGCCGAATAAAAACTATATATAAAAACCATTATTATGTATTAATTAAAATTAAATTATTACATTTTGATTTAATTAAAATTCATTAATTTAGAAACTTCAAATTAATATAATCTAATTGCTTTGGAAAAATTGTACAACTTTTTTTTTTATTTTAGAAAAGGGTATCTATTTTAGTCACATTTTTTTAGATGTGATAACATCTATAATAATAATTCGAAATCACATAAAAATAATATAATCATTTAATATTAGTTAAAATTAATAAAATTAAATAAAATTTATTAAAAAATAATAAATATAATTTATTAATACATAAAATTAAATAAAATATTAAATAAAATTATTAATAATAAATAAATAGATAATATTAGAACTAATTTTGTTTTGTTTAAAATTCATTAATCTTGTTCTTATAAATTAATATCAATTTATTTATTAGTTAAAATTTTAATTTGTTTTTTTCTATTTTAGTAAAGCATATAAAGTTTTTTTTACCACATTACCCTGAGGTTGTTCAAACACGGTCCAAACATTTCTTCTTTTGTCCAATAATGTTCCACAAACATTTAATCACAAAACCTTATCATAAAAACTTCTTTCTTCAATCCATATTATTCAATAAGCGATAAATAATTTGATCAAAAACATCTGAATACATATCTATCGTACAATATTATATACATATATGTGTAAAGAGATTTTCGAACAGAAGTGAAACAACAACAAAAATTTATTTTTTAAATTATTTTAATTAATTGAATTTTTGCCTGACCATACAGCTGTTTCGAGTATTGCCAAATACCCTTCATCAGTGGTCTTGGAAATAATTCTTACATATATTTAATTATTCGTAAATAATTATTTTTGAGACTGCAACTACCAGGAATCGAACTCGGGTCCTGCCAAATATATATATATATATTTTTT